ATATTAATAAAAGATCTTATTATCCATCATTTTTTGGTCATACAAAATAAAAAAAAAAAATGTCTGAATTTATTTATATGATTTTTGTATGCGCTCTTCTTTTTCTTCTGTCTTTCATTGTCATACAATATCTATTGTCTTTCTAATGTATTCTTGATATATTCACTAAAACTGTTCTTTCCTATGTATTCCATTTTTTATGTTTTTTTATTGTAAACAACAAATGATAGTGTTTCAGAGTGAAATAATGTTATATTTGTATATTGTTTGTCAATCCAAGATTATAAACATCTTTTATTCTTTTATCTTTAATTAATTTATCAAAGTGGTAGAACGATGACTGTAACGAATAATTATATATATTTATGGATGCAATTACTGAAAATCTATCACATAAGGTGAATATCTAGCCATTTATGCATTAAAGAATATGCCTCAAGATCGGAAACATCGATTATTGACTCGGTATACATAAAAAATTAAAGATTATCCATTAGCATGTAAAGAAAACCAGCTGTTAAATTAAAATCTATGAAATCTTGCATTGAAATTTTGATAACGATATCTTTGGATTTAAATAAAATAATTTCACAATCAACAAATGGATATAAATAACAAATTATTTATGATATTATACTTTTACTTAAAAATAGAAGTGCATTGCTCGTTAAGATATCATCTGATCACATTATAGCGATCATTTATCATCCAAAATGAATTAAACTAATCGAAAGATTTAACGCCACATTCATCGAATCAACAACAAATATTCTATTATATGTACTTTTCCACTCTGTTACACGAACATTTGTACTTTTTTTCCCAATCTATTGTATGTATTCTTCCCTTTCTGTTTGATGATAGATTTTTCTCGCTCATTATATTCTTTCTTTTGTTGTTGCATTCTGATCTTATTATATCTAATACATTGTTCTAAAGACAGATTCAACTTGCTATCAATAACAAATTCAAAATCCGTGACTCTCAACTTTTACTTTTCAGTAATCGACGTTGAAGACGAAAACTAAATTGATAAATATTAATTGTATATGTAGTAATATGTATAAAACGTATTTACGGACGCGTTTCGTATTCTTTATTAAGAAACTCTTCAGGACTACACATATTACTGTAATTAAAAAAGTAAAAGGCCAAAGAAGAACAACAATAAAAAGTAAAATAAAATAAAATGAAATAAAACGTAGAGGGGCCTGGGTGGTGTTGGGGCGATTAGTCGATAAAGCAATTTGGAATCGAGGTATGAACAGTACTCGATCGTCTAGAAAAGTGAATTTGAAAGCGTATAAACTTGTCGGATAATTTGTTATGCAAAAGAGTGAGGCCAAAACCATGCCAACTCGAATTTGAAGGCGAGTCGTCAAAGGCAAAACCTCGAGAAATGCATATGATTGAAGCGAAAACCGACGATTGTCCAGAAAGGTGAACCCGAAGCCGCGCAAACTCGAATCTGGAAACGAGTTGTCAATGGTGAAACCTTGGGGCTTGAGGATCTAGAAAAGTGGGCTTGAAAACGTATAATCTCGATAATTCTGGTAAACGGATAATTCTGTCCGGATGATAGTAAAGCCTTGAGAAATGTAGATGATTAAAGAATCTCAAATAAAGCTTTTATTGTCTAGTATGAGCGATACGCCGCTTTAAGTTTCCAACATTGCGAATGTCAATAATTGGTCTAATATCGGAAATTGGCGATTGACTGAAGTATTTTGTACCAAAGTAAACGAAATTTTGAAGGGAAGGTCTTCATACCTGAACAATATGTGAGGTGGACAACTAATGTGGTAGTGAAATCGACTGTTGGCTTGTCAGTCCTTTAGTGTTAAGTATTTTTTCACGTTCTTGATTATAATTATTCGAATTAAGCAAATTAACTTGAAAAAGAGATAATACACAATTAAATTGAGCCTCGATAAATTCACTAGGATACTTATTTAAGAGAAGTGCCATTCGAATTTGTTATCATTCATAAATATTTGGAAATCTGAGAAATATCGAAAGGCTCGAATGAGAGTGGCGAATGGTATATTTCGCTTCATATGTAATGGTTGAACACTACTGAAAGGTAAATAGTAAGGTTCATACGAGGGCTTGTGGAATACATTATATTCAATTTGCCCATTCTTATTTTCCATATGAAGATCAAGAAAATTGGCAGTTGATCCAATAGTAGCTGTTAACTGAATATTTGGATCGATTCGATTCCATTCTTTAATTTCTTCGAGTGATTGTTCTTTTGTCCAATTAATAACAATAATAGTATCATCAATATATTGACGATGAAGGCCATTATTATTATACATAGTCTTGACAATATCTTGTTCAAAGAAAAACATATAACAATTTGAAACAGTCAATGTTAATGATGAACCCATTGCGCGAATTTGATGATAATATTTATCATTACAACAAAATAACAAAAATAATTATTTTGCATTACAAATTGGGCTAATCGAATAATAGTTTCTACTCAAAGACTACCAACTTGTTTAAGGCCAAGGTGGTCGAGCATTTTCTTTAATGATAGAATACTTTCGATTTGTGGCATCATTGTACATAGGTTGACAACATCCATTGCAGAGCTGGGCAAGTACGAGATTTCCCAAGTACGAGTCGAGTATGAGTACCGAGCCTTCGAGTATGAGACGAGTACAAGTACAAGCGCCAATTTTTTAAATACAGATACCATTGAACCAGACATGACTATGAATGTCTAAAATAATTTGTGGGAAAAAAACGTCCTGTAGCTCTTTAGTTATTTTCTTAATTAGTCTCTTATTATTTGATATGTAGGTCAGAACAAAATATTGACAAAGCGAAATGTTAAAACATTTTTTTAATTTATTGTATTATCAATCCTCAAGTACATGGAATCAAAGTAAATTCTTCTCAGATAAAATTAACTAATCAAAGGAAAAATTACTAGTGGAATTTCATACAAAGAAGGTAGTCCTACAAAGTGGAATAGTTTGAAAGTCTGTAAAAATGTGTATGAGGCTATTGTAGAAGCCAGAATTCATAGGTTACGTTAATAGGTACTGTATAGAGAAATTATTTGCTTTTGGCAAAACTTCAAGTTGAACAAAACATTTTAAGTATGTGGGATTGTAGAGCAATCCGAGTTCTATAAAATGAGACGTAGTATGACTCTGGTAAAGATTTCGTTCAATTATGACAAGCTTCACAGTCTTTACTTAGGGAAGCCGTCAAAACTATGAACGAATCAATCGGATCAAACGAATCATTCGGATCATTCGTAGAATAATGTAAAGCGCTCCTCTGTGATGTTTGTATAAGAGAGAAAATATATATTTTCTTATCCATTTTATTCATTCTTTCCAACTTTATATTAACTCTTATATATAACACATCAAAGAACACATTAACTGTGCTAATTAATTATAGGTAATATATATATATTCACTTTGGCCTTATCACTTGCTAATATGGTCTTAAACAAACAGTAAGAATGATTTTTCGTTACCGCTGCCATAGTGGGTTTG